GCCGTGATCGCGCCACTGTCCGTGGATGCTTATTGCCACATACCCAGCCATCAGAAGCCACATACCCTTTCACAGAACCGTGAGTTATATGTATATGCTTTCTCTGCCCCACATGTTTTATGTTATCCCTAAATAAGTTATTTTATATTGTAAACTCGTAAGAGTATAATTAATACTGTAATACAAAATATCAAAATTGTATCTGTATAACAAAAGATGATGAAAATAAACGCGCAATAATATCAATACAATAAATCCATCGTTGCGTTTTCATTACAAACTTATAACTCTAACCATGAATAGTATTTTAAGCAAAACAACAAAATATAATAAATAATATAAAAAAAGGTGGGCAAGTGGGTGTCACTCTGCTGTACAGTAGGGTACAAGTGGGTCACTGGATAATGGATGATATTAAATTTGAATTCAACGATATAATATCATTGTATAAGAAAAACGATTCTGAACGGAGCCGGTATGTCAGTCTAGGTATAAGACATATTATATACATATCTATGGTATTAAAAAAAATGACCTATAATAGGTACCTATAATAAATTCCAAATTAATCATATCACAATATCCATTAGGTACTTATAACGCGTTATACATCAACAAAAACCATGATACTATCATAGATATATAATAGTACACTTTAGAAGTTTCAAGTACCCACGAATAATATTATTAAATCACAACAAAATAACTAAAATAGTTATTCTAGGTTTTTTATTATGTAATTTCGTCCAAATTTGAATTTAAAATGTCTGTAAAAAATAACTGTGCTCATATATTTTTTAGATTTTTTGGCTACAGTATGAACTATTCATGAGAATCTTTTTTTTAAATTTTCAATCCTTAGCTATAAAAACTGAACATTTTATAATTTATTAATTACGATGATTGATAATTTTCGAGATTTTGATAAATTTTGTCAAAATGCGATCTTTAAATGCTTATAAAAAAGAAGTGCCTAATAATTTTTAATATTTTTCAATTGCTATTGTAACAATATATCAGGAGCCTTGTATTAATTTTTTACACTTTTTGGCCCAACAGATAAAACTTTATTGATATTTATAGAAAAAAAAACTAAAAAAATTGAAAACTGAAAATGTCCGTAAACGGCTTAAAAAGAGTCAAAATATTTTCAAAACTGTATGGTGTATAGGAAATGCTAATATAAACATTCAGTGAAATTTTCATGTATCTATAGTAATTCTTTTTTGAATAACAACAAAATAAGGAAATCGCCACATGAGAAATCGAGTAAACATCCAATGTTGTAAAAATTTGAATTTAAAACGCTCATAAAAATTTAATTTGACTGTCCGGTAGAGATTTTTTTATTGATAAATTTAGACAAACTTATGAGTAATCTTGTATTACATTTTCAAATCTTAGATTTAAAAAGAAAAATTTTTACGAATTCTTAACTCAAAATAATTTGCTAATTTTCGTGATTTTTACATATTTTGTCAATTTTTGAACTTTAAATGCTTATAAAAAAAAAACTGTGACTAACGATTTTTAATATTTTTCATCTGCCTTTGAAACAATATACTAGGAGCCTTCTATTAAATTTTCAAGTTTTTTTAACTAATAAAAAAATTTTTATTGATATTTCTAGAAAAAAAACTAAAAAAAAAATGAAAAATGAAAATGTCCCTAAACAGTTCAAAATAAATCAAAATATTTTGAAAATGTTATCGTGTATAGAAAATGCAAATATAAACAACCACTGAAAATTTCATGTATCTACGGTCATTTGTTTTAAAGTTCCACCAAAAACCAAAATCGATTTTCTCGAAAACAGATTTTGCGTAAAAATTCCCGTTTTTTCTTAATTTTTCTTTTGTTTTTCCCGGCGCTTTTGAAAATTACTGGGAAATTTAAATTTTGACCTCCCCAATGCACCAACGATATTCACTTTCGAATCGAACAAGATACTGAAGTTGATAATCGGAGCATTATTTCGACTACTTATCGTGTCCACAGACACAAAAATAAAAAAACACATCATTGTAAAATCAATACATTAATCGTTTCACTCAGAATCTAAAAAGGAACTATTCATAGAAATCTGTTAAATTTATTTGATTAACAATATCAAGTAATTCATCATTTTCCAATGGTTGATCATTAGTAGGTACAGTAAATTCATATTTTTTATATTTGTACATTATTTCAGAATTGAACTTATTATGCATTGACTCAGATGGGGTAAATGTTTTACAACAGTTTTTTAATTTACATTTAATTCTTAGCAATGCGTCTAACATTTTGGGATCAATTCTATTTCTAGATTTGGTTTTTACACTGTTCATAATCGAAAAAAACTCTTTCTACCACAACATTACTAGTTGGTAAACTAAGAATCTTTAAGACAAATTCGGATAACTCTTTAAATGCATAATTGCCACCTTATGGCTATCGTTTAACTGGTTTTCATCTAGATACATTTTCCAAGTGACAGTTACTAATTTATTCCATTGCGTTTCTATCAAAGGTAAATTATATGGTTCTAGAAATATGTTAATAAAAGGCAAATCACCAAATTTTGAATGTAACTGGCTTAAACAGAGTGTTGGTGAAAATAATTTCAATTTCTTAAAAAATTCCAAGTTGTCAGGTAATCTTAATTTTACTTCACACAACAATTCTTTTATAAATTTAAAAGCGGTTGCTTGAACATTTGTTCTTTTTTCTAGAGATATA